ACCCCACTCACCCCCCACATGCACACACACAACCCCCCTCACACACATGCACAGACACACCATGCACACACACCCCACTCACACACATGCACACACAAGTCTCCTGTAATCACACAGCCAGCCCTCGGTGTGTGTGTGTGGTACACTCATCTTGCAAAGGGTATACCTGGGCCCCTGGCCAGTGGAAGGCTCCCAGCACAGCCAGGTGCAGTCCACCTCAGGCGTTCAGGGTACATGGGAAGAGGCTGCTATCCTGGGAGGCCTGGGAGGCCCCTGCTCTCAGGGACTTCCCTTGTTCCCTGACAGCCCCCAGTGTTCCCTGCTGATACCTGACCATCAGTTCTGGGGTCACCACAGCCTCCAGCTTAAAGAAGGCCTCGGGGGCTCCCAAGTGTGTCATGGGTCTCCCAAAGGCAAGACTGGGTGGGGCCTCCCCCCACTGCCTGGGAAGGTAGTCTATACCCGGCCCTGAGCTGCCAGGCCCCGTGCCTGGGAGTGGGCCAGGCCATTGGGTCAAGGGAACCTGCCAGGAGGTCCTGTGCCTGCGTACCAGGTGAACACTAGAGGCCCATCCACGCAGGACATGTGGCCGTGCCGATGGGCAGGGTGGGGGTGTCCCGGGGGTGCCAGTGACCCTGGGTGTGAGGGGACTGGCCCTCCCTGCTGCAGGGTGAGCATGCACACCTTGCACATCAGTTAGGGTGTCTGATGAACCAACGTTGTGCTCATGCCCAGAGACAGTGGCTGCAGAAGTAATTCAATGAGCGTGCTGAGACAAACCTCCCTGGCGGTCCCTGGGGAGCTAGATGATTAATTGTGGAGTGTTTTCACCTGGCAAAGTGGCTGGGATCCAGGTATGTTTCTGAGGCTCCTGTGTGTGTTTAATTTTAGAAGCCCCCTGGGCTGTTAATTGTGCATGGCCACATTCCCCGGCTCTCCTCCCAGCACCTGTCAGGGCGCACCTTAGACTCCAGGTGCAGGTCCAGCCAAGAGCTTGGCAAAGGAGACAAATGGCAGCTAACAGGCCACTTAAAGTTCTGATGAAAACATTTTTTAAATTAAAAGAAGTATAAACCCATCTCAGATGAGGGAAGGCAGAGACTTTCCTCACCTCGTTCACCTCCTGGAGGTCTGTTTCTTTTTTTCTGTCTCCCTTTTGCTTTCAAAAGGCATGAAGGGGTCCAGGGGATCCCACAGGCCCACCTCCCCACTTGGGGCATGGGAGGCCGCACCTGGAGTAGAGGTATGCCATGAGCCCCAGAGGCGTGCCCGCCTGCAGGACGCGGGCCTTCCTCTGCTTGCCGCCACGCGGGTGCTTGCTGACGTTGTAGAAGATGAGGGACGAGGACTCATCCAGGGGGCTGAAATCCAGCGTGTCGCAGTGGGCCGCAGAGATGTTCACGATCACGGGCAGGGCGCAGGGCTCCAGGCCCCACCGCTCCGCGTACATGACCTGTGTGTGCAGGCAAGCGAGCTGCCTCCGTCTGGTTGGTCTGCTGCCACCGGGTGCTGGCAGGACCCGGGTGCTGGGTCACCCTGCTACTGACGGCGGGGGGGGGGGCGGGGGGGCGGTTAGGGATTTGGGCCGACTTGCCTGCAGGTACTTCTTGACCAGTCCCAGGAACTGCACTTTGCACTTCATTTCTTCCAGCTGTCCTCTCAGTTTGGACAACATGGTCTTCACCTCGGAGCCTGGGGGCGGGCAGAGTTGGCACAAGGCGGGCCCCAGCCCCCCGGAGCGCCTCTGCCCGGCCCCGAGCTACCTTTACTGCGCTTCTCCTTCTGCAGGAGCTTCTGGTAGAACTTCAGCGTCTTCCGGTAGTTCCTCTTCTCTATCAGGAGCTGCTGCTCTAGCTCCTGCCACGAGACAGCCCGTGAGCCCCGCCTGCGCCCGCCCCGCGCGCCCTGCGCTTGCGGGCGTGGTCGCGGAAGGCGGCCTCCCCACAGGGCCCGCACAGAACCAGAGCGCGGGACACGTCCCACGCGGGGACACCAGGGTTCTCACGGGACCTCACAGGGACGCTGTCGTCATCCAGCCACAGAAACGGTCTGTGTGCGCCACGGGGGACGTGAATTCCGACGAGGGGACTAGGAAATGTCGCCGAAGTGGGGGTTGGAGGCTAGCAGGGGACCTCTCGGCAGCACCACTCTCGGCGAATGGCAGACCCAGCAGGGACCCTGCAGGTGGACACACTACCCGGCAACGACCAGGAAGGTTTCCTCCTGCCCCGGCAACAGCCCAGCCAATGAGAGACGCTCAGGGCCCAGCCAATGAGAGACGCCCACGGCCCAGCCAATGAGAGACGCTCAGGGCCCAGCCAATGAGAGACGCCCACGGCCCAGCCAATGAGAGACGCTCAGGGCCCAGCCAATGAGACGCCCAAGGCCCAGCCAATGAGAGACGCTCAGGGCCCAGCCAATGAGAGACGCTCACGGCCCAGCCAATGAGAGACGCTCACGGCCCAGCCAATGCAGCCCCCAGTTTACTCCGATGGAGGTTTAGTTTACAACAGGTGCCCCAACTCCCCCATATGAAAGAGCCTCCTCTTTGTTCCCAGGTCTTGCCTGTGGTTTTTGCCCTAGTTTGCTTCTGTATGTTGCCATTCTCTGCTTTCCTGAATAAACCGTTTTTCTGGTAAAGTAACTGTTTTATTATGAAGTTCAACACAACTGGGGGCAAAGATAGTATCTCAGTAAATTGGTATTTGCAAAGTAGATCCCATTGAGCCACTTAAAACAATGAGGGCAGAAAATCGTTGAGGCAGCTAGTGGCCTGTCCCGGCTTCTTGACCGTCCCCCACCCCAGGAAAGCCAGGCCCCCCGCACGAGGAGGGGGTTGGGGTGCAGGGGCCGCGGCTTGGGCCCCGCCCTGGCCCACCGAGGGACTGCCCTTCCGGATAGGTGTCCAGGACCGCTTCTGCCTGGTTGGGGGGACGGGGAGCTGGCCCGCGCCTCTGGCCTCTCTGGTCCCCTCTGGCCCCCCAGCCCAGCCGAAGGCCCTAGCTGCCCCGCGAGGCCCCTGCAGGACCCCCACGCGACCGCCGGGGGCGCCGCGTCCCCGCACCTGGGTCCCCGAGGGTGGGGATCCCACCTGAGGCCCGGCTGCCCAGCTTGCGTGGCCGCCCCCGAGGGACCCCCACGCGGAGTCCCTGCCCCAGACTCAGGCTGGCTAGCCCCCGTTCCCACCGGGCCCCTCGGCGGTGCTGCGCGGGGACAGCGGCCAGGACGCGTGGCCCCTACTGCTCGCGGGCAGTCCAGAGAGCCGCGGTGTCACGGTCTGCGAGGGTGCCCAGCATCAGGGGCCCCAAACCCCTCCTGGAGAATGTGCATCTCCCAGGAGGGTCCACAAGCTTGCTTGGGGTGGGGGGAAGTTCCCCGAGCTCTGTCCTCCAGTGAGGTGGGTCTGGGTTCTTCTCTCACCCAGAGGGACCAGGAAACCCTCCCTTGAAGGAAGGAGCGGACAGATGCAGCCTGGCTTACTGCCCCCAACCCTGCAGGGTCCAGGGCTGAGGAGGGGTGTGAGTCTGGAGCGGTGAGGGCGCTGGAAGCCTGGTGGGTCCCTGGGAGGGGGCCTTGAGCTCCCACGGGTCTCCAGCTGGGGCTGTGAGGTTGCCTGTCCCTGGGGGAGGAGGATAGGTGTGGGGTGGGCACAGTGAGGGACCTGGCTAGGGCCAAGAACCAGAGGAAGAGGCAGAGGCCCAGGGATCTCTCAGACTCCCAGGGAAATAACTTCCTGTTAGTAGGGTTCAAGGTGGCCCCAGGGCCCTGAAATGGCCACACTGATGGGAGCCTTACTCTGAAAGCCAAATACACTCCGGTCTTCATTTGGGCACATCTAATCAGCTGAAACCCAAACAAGCTTTCCCCTGGTCTCCTCTAACTACAAGGGACTTTGCTTCGTTGGTAGCACTTATTTCTGTACAATTTTGTGAAATTAAAAATGCAGGTGGTGTTTTTATTTAAATATTGGAATCTCTTCTATCTGATGGTTTTACTGAAAAGGTGGTTCATGTGGCTGTCTTCTTCATGCTTCTGTTTTATTTATTTATTTTTTAAAGATTATATTTATTTATTTGAGAGAGAATGAGAGAGAGAGAGCATGAGAGGGGGGAGGGTCAGAGGGAGAAGCAGACTCCCTGCCGAGCAGGGAGCCCGATGCGGGACTCAATCCCGGGACTCCAGGATCATGACCTGAGCCGAAGGCAGTCGCCTAACCAACTGAGCCACCCAGGCGCCCCTCATGCCTCTATTTTAACGGTGGGGTAGCAGATGGCCACGCCAGGTGGTAGGAACCTCCAAGCCTGGGGCAGCTGTGGGGCAGGGGCTGTGCCGGTGTTGGGGGATGTGGTGCAGACTGAACACAGAACCACCTTCCTCCCCCACGTCTCGGTTGTTGAATCGGGTCCCCCAAGGCCTCCAGGACCTTCTCCAGCTGGGCCACGTGCAACCTGCAGGGGCGGGGGGTGTCACACACTGGGACGGCAGGCAGTCTCCGTGGAAACAGGTGTGGAGAACGCTGATTTCGAGCACAGCGAGAGCCCCACATGAGGCAGACGTTTGGGGAGGAAGCCTGCTGAGCACAGCTCATGTTGCCCCAAAGCTGCTGAGACATCTTTTGGCTGGGATTGTGTGTGAGGAGAGTGAGGGTCTGACGTCGCACACCCTGGCTCCAAATCTGCCTTCCCGGCTCGTCAGCCCGAGGACCCAGTCGCTGGTCACCAGGGTGGGGGATAGAATGAGCGCCCAGGTGTGTGGGGCAGAACTGTATGCGCAGGACCTGCATGCGCCTCCGACATGGGAGCCACTGGCCGTGTGTGGCAGCTGTAGTATTAAAAGGACACGAGAATGTCCATTCCTCTGTCTCGTAGGCCACACCTTGAGTGCTCAGCCACACACGGCCGGTGGCTACCCGGGGGATGGCACAGATCTGGAACGAGTCATCACTGAGGACAGTCAGTGGGAGGGCGCAAACCCTGACCCCGCACAGCTGTGTTCACAGACGGACTCATCTCTGCCCTCGGGAGGTCTGGTTCAAGCGAGTCCAAGGGTCTCTGCAGTCCCAACCACGCATGCTTCTCTGTGATTCTCCCTCCCTCCCTTCCTTTTTTTCTTTAGATTTATTTATTTGAGAGAGAGAGCACCGAGAGAGGGAGAAGCAGACTCCCCCCTGAGCAGAGAGCTGGACATGGGGCTCTATCCCAGGACCCTGAGATCATGACCTGAGCCAAAGGCAGCCGCCTAACCGATGGAGCCACCAGGCGCCCCTAATCCTGGCTCTCTGAAGATGCCACGACCCTGGCTGACATCCCCCAAAGCCTGAAGAGGGGAAGGACGGCCCCGAGCCCTGTGTTCCTGGGCTCTCCTTTTGTGCAGCTCAGGACCGCCATGGGGAGGGCACTCTCTGAGGCCACCCTGCACAAGGCTCTGTCCAGCCCCCTCGCCCTCTTGCACACTGTCCAGATGCTGATCCAGACCCCTTCCCCCAGAGAGGGCCCGTGGGACACACCTGCTTCCCACTGGAAAGGGGGGCTCACACAGACTCCAGGACTGTTTCGACTGATTTTAAAACTAAATCTATGTGAACTAAACTCCACACAAGACAGGATAATGGAGAAGACACACACGAGCAGGGCTTCACCACGACCATACTTGGCAGAAGCACAGCAAACCCGACCACAGCTGACTTGGACTGGCGAGGTCTAAATAAAATACTTAGGATCATTTGCGTTGAGGTGCTTCCCCTGGCCTAACCCAACGAAGGACTTCCCCCACAGGATGATGAGAGAAGGAAGTGTGAACTATCTGATGCACAAGCACACACAGCCCTCTCCATGGACACGGGCCTGAAAGCTGGCCAGTACTGAGGACAAAGAGAACCACAGTCAGAAGGAAGCCGGAAAGCCAGAACTTACAGAGAGAAGAGGGAGGAACCGAAATCAGCACCACTCACCTAAATACTGAAAGCAAAGCCTGTTTTAACAGCCAGTGAAGGGCAACAAAGCCCCTCGGGACAGCTTCACAGCCCGGGGCACCTGGGCTGCGGCACGAGGAGACGCGGGCACTCAGCCCGCACTCACGGCAGGTGCGCGGGGCGCGGGGCACGTCGGCATGCGCTCGGTGACCAATGGAGGGAACCCGGTGCCCTCCAGCCGCTCTGCCCACCCCAGCGCCTGGGCCTGCCTCGCACTCGCTCGGTTTGGGTAGCGAATGTGAAAGTGTGACCAATAGTTGCTTTACACCTTTCCAGTTTGCCCAAAATGCAGCGGGTTCTCAAAGAGAAACACGAAACTACGGCGGCCTCGTCCAGCCGCTCCCCCCCAACCGCCGCCCCCGCGCCCCATGCAGGCAAGGGCGCAGGAAACTCACCTGTCTGCATTCCGGTTCCAGGAGAGACATCTTCCCCAGGTGAGCAGGAACAAAAGGGAAAACAGGGTCACTCCGAGTCACTCCACATCATCCCTCAAACCACCTGCCTCCTCCTGACTGTGCCCCACCCGCAGAGTGACCGCAGAGTGACTGTGGGACCGAGCCTGTTTCAGAGATGGGAGGCCCAGGCCACCTCGTCCCAACCACACGGTCATGGTCCACATAAGGGCAGCCACTGGCCGCCGGCACTCTTCTGGTCTGAGCTGGCCTCTGAGCCCACTTTCAAGAACAATCTGAGTGTGGTGCAGGGGTGACCTGGGCTCACCAGTGGGTGCATCTCCCTGCAAGGGGCCGCCACCCTGAGGAGAGCACAGGACTGAGGAAAGGGCCCCGTCAGCCTACAGCAGGCTCTCGCACACAAAAGAGCCACCCTCTGCGGTGCTGAACACAGGGGCTGGCAACAGGGCAGTCCGTCCATAGCCGTCCATCATAAAGACGTGACTATAGTCAGCAGGCGCGACCTGTGATGTCAGAGGATGACCTACGACATTGGAGGACACACCTGGACTCTTACCATCCCCCCTTCCCCACAACTCTCGGATTAAGCTGTTGGGGAAGTCGGTGTGGACACAGTGAGCTGCCTCTGAAAGGGCCACGTCCTCTGTTATGGGGCGTGGGCGCCCTCAGCCTCCCCGTTCCCAGGTCAGCGGGGCTCCTGTCTCCTGGTCCAGCTGGAGGTTAGAGTCACAGGATGCTGGTGGGGCCGTGTGCACGGATTGAGGGCAAAGGAAACTCCGCGGGATGCTGCCTCCGTCTCTTCTCTGTTCACTAGGATTCAACTAGAATGACATCTGTAAGCACCGGTTCAAGTTCCCAAGGCCAAGGGTCATCCTCTCCTTTTTTTTGTTTTCAACTATTTTTCTAAAAGATTTATTTATTTATTTGAGAGAGAGAACATGCGCGCACAGTGGGGAGAAGCAGAGGGAGAGAGTCCCAAGCAGATTCCCTGCTGAGCGCGGAGCCCGATGTGGGGCTCGGTCTCATGACCCTGAGATCACGACCTGAGCTGAAACCGAGAGTCGGACGATTAACTGACGGTGCCACCCAGGTGCCCCGCTCTCAACTAGTTTTTAAATTTTTATTTTGAAAAGTTTTTTGTGACAAAATACACATAACGTAAAATTTACCATTTTAACCATTTTTCATCATGCTTGGCATGAAGCACATTCACCCCGTTGTACAACCATCCCCACCCTCCATGTCCGTCTTACAAGAGGGAAGCTCTGTCCCGATCAAGCCCCCATCCCCTCCCCCCGCACGGTCTCTGTGAACGCGGTGACTCCAGGGACCTCATGAAGCTGGGGCACAGAGTACTGATCCTTCCGTGTCTGGCTTTCACTCAGCATCAGGCCCTCGGGGCTCCTCCATGACGTGTCAGGGACCAGCCTGTCCCACTGTGTGCGTACTCTCCATCTCCACCCATCCGTTGATGGGCACTTGGGCTGCTGTGAACAAGCTCTTGGAGGCCCTCCTCCCAGCTCTTTGGGGTGGACACCTGGAGGTGGACTTACTGACTTACGTGGTAAATCTAGGTTTAATTTTTGGAGGAAACTCCAGAGTGGCTGCGCCATTTTACATTCCCACCAGCCATGCACGAGGGCTCCAGTTTCTCCACATCTCGCCAACATGATATTTTCTCTTTCTTTTTTAAATTTTGGTAAGAGCCATCCTACCGTGTGTGAGGTGGGGTCTCACTGTGGTTTTGATTTGCTTTTCCCTAATGACCAGGGATGTTGAGCATCTTTTCATGAGCTTTTGGCTATTTGTGTGTCTTCTTTGGAGAGACGTCTATGTAAGTCCATCACTCCTTGTTCAGCTGGGTTCTTGGGTTGTTGCTGTTGTGGTCCCTGTACATTCTGGAGATTAAACCTTTCTCAGATATAGGATTTGCAAATGTTTTCTGCCATTCTGTTGGTTGTCTTTCCCCTCTGTTGACGGCGTCCTTTGACGCACAAAAGGTCTGCGCTTTGATCGAGTACAATTTTTTTCTTTTTTAAAAAAGATTTTATTTATTTATTTGACAGAGAGAGACAGCGAGAGACGGAACACAAGCAGGGGGAGTGGGAGAGGGAGAAGCAGGCT